TATATAATATATATATATATATATATAGATATATATATATATATATATGTATTTACATGTATATAAGTTATATATGTTATGTTTTCATATATATATATATTATATATATATATATATATATATATATATATATATATACATATAATGACGTGGTGGAGTGATGACATGGTGGAGGAATGAAAGGGGGATGATGAAATATTCAGATCACATGAAATCATTTCCAAGTTTTCCTCCGAGCGTTATCATTTCTGATAAATAAATTTTAAGACCAAACATACTTAGTAATCGATCATTTAAAGGAAACCCGATTAGAATTGTAATCGGTGCACTTGATTACGCCTTTTCTTATGTATGAGGCAGGGCTCGTAAATCTGACGTTTCATCTCCTGCATTTACATCTTGGTTATAATGAGAATAACAGCAGGCTGAAGCACATGCAAATATTGTAAGAAAAGAAATATGAAACGCCTTAGATAAAAGTAACTTCGTATAGCCGTAGTGAAATACTAACGGTAGGGGAGGACAACAAATGTTCAAACGAGCAAGTGTATTGGCTAAGTGGTTACTAATATATAATACCAACTCATGTTGACTTTTCCCGCTGCACATTTGAAACAAATTCAAATTCGATTTCAAACACTTTATTCCATTAATCACAATGGGTATTCTCTTTACATATAAGGTGTTTACACAATGTAATAGGATGCTATGAACATAGGTATTGTACAATGCTTGTGAAACAAAAATACACATAATAATGTCATATGTGATTGAAATATCATGCTGGGTTTGATTGATGTTCTTTCACTTTTGTTTTAAGTGTCTTTTGGTTGGAATTATTTCTTATATTACCGGGTAATTAGTTCCAAGTCACCTGGCCTCGGATTTGCATATTTCTTGCCCCGGTTTCTGTATTTGATCTTTTGATATATGAGAGGTTGTTTTGCCTTGTTTGGACACCCGTTATGTTACCTGTTGTCTGTATAGGTAATAGCCAATTTGGGTAAATTCCTTGTATGATTTTATGGATTAAAATGTGCCATAGTTGTATTTCTGTTGTACTTTTAGCCATTTTAGTTTGTTGATATGCGGTGTGATGTGGTCATATTTATTTATATTTCCTAGTGCTACTTTTGCTGCAAAGTTCTAGTTTCTGTGTTCTTTGAATTTGTGTTTTATTTGCGGAGCCCCAGATGTTTAGGCAGTAATTGATTATACAAAGTGCTAGTGTTTGTATAACAATAGTTCTTTCTGTGGGTATTTTATTTTTGATGCGATTCAAGTATATCAGAGTGTCCATTACTTTCCTGTAGATGTGGTCAGTGTGTCTCAAATGTCATGTAACTGTCTATGTAAACTCCTAGATTTTTTTACCGTTGTGCTGGGTTTGATGTAGCAGCCCTGGAATTCTATAACTGTATCTGTGGGTATTTTTGCAATGTTCTGACGGCTGCCCATGAAAATACATTGTGTTTTCTGTGGATTTAGCTTCAGGCCATTCATTTCAAAGTATCGTTTTGCTTCCGTTAGGGTTTGTTTAGCTTTTCCTATCACCGCATTTAAATTGTTAACAGAAGAAGAAATTGAGAGTCATCAGCATACTGAATAAGAAGACAGTTTTTTGCAATTGATGACAGATCATTGATGAATATAGTGTATAAGATTAGGCCTAGAATGGAGCCTTGTGAAACACCGAACGAAACTTGTTTCTTTGATGATACTTTTTCATGAATTTTGACTGATTGAGTTCTTGCGGACAAGTAATCTTTGAACCAAAAATTATCAATTCCGTGATTTGTTAGTTTGTTAAGAAGTATTTCATGGGTGACGCTGTCAAAGGCCTTCGATAAGTCACACAAAGTGAGCAGGTTTATCTGGTTGTTGTCTATGTTGTTATAGATTTAATTTGTGACTTTTAGTAACGCTGTCTCGGTTGATAAATTACTTCTAAGGAAGTGCTGCGTGTTTGATATAAGGTTATTCTCTTCCAAAAATGATGTTAATTGGTTTGCAACTATTTTCTCGAGTACTTTAGATATCAGCAGTATTGTGATGGGTCGATGATTATTTATTTCGTCTGTATCACGGGATTTGAAAATAGATGATATGATACCATGTTTCCAAAGTGATGGATAAATACCAGTGACTATGGATGTATTGATGATGTCTGTCAGATAGTATGCAATTGCTGGTAGACTATCGTTTATGAAACGCTGTGCAATGCCATCAGCTCCTACGGAATTTGTTTTTCTTAGGCGTTTTACTGTTAATGTAATTGTTTCTACTCTTACTGGTTGTGGTATGAAAAAGTTTGTTATAAGCCTTGTTTCATGTTGTGTAGATGTGTGGAGGCGGTTGTCGGTTCGTAAGTGAGCCTATCGACTTCTGCAAAGAAGGTACTAAAGTGTTCTATATCATTTATGGAATTTTTGGAAATGTCTGTTTTGTTTCTTATTTGGCACTAGTGTCTTAACCAGTTTCCATGTTTCGGCAGAATCGTTTTTGCATTCATTGATCTTATTTTTGAAATCATTTGTTTTCGCACTATGGATGAGTGATCTCACATTCCTTTCCATGTGTTTATATTCAGCCTGAAAGGTGGTGTCAGATCTGTTTATCTTGAGAACTTTCTGAGTATTATTTCTATCATTTATGGCTCTCTTAATGTTATCTATCCAGGGGGCGGGAGGACAGTTTATTGTTTTAGTTTTAATAGGTGCGGAGGCGTTTATGCTGTTCTCTATCGCTTCTGTTAAAATGGTAATTTCTCTGTCAACATTATCTGTTGCTAAAATATCTAAGAGCGATGATATGTTGGCTATATCTTCGCAGAGTAATTTAGGATCGTAATGATTTAGATCACGAGAAGTTTTGGTGACTGGTTGTCAATTTAGTTGTTCTATATTCAAGATCAAGGTTAAAAGCTCGTGATCAGCAATTGGGCATGGGATAAAATCTGTGTAAAGAATAAAATCGGGTATGTTTCTTATTATGACATCTAATACAGAAGAGGTACTTTCTGTAAACCTTGTAGGCTTGTCTTTAACCTTGTAAATTGTTTTAATTTATTCTTATTAATTATTCCTGTTAGCTTTGCATTTGATTTGTTTAGATCATCATTTAAATCACTTAGAATGAATAGGGGTTTTCTTTTTAATGACATTTCTCCGAAAATATTTTCAAGATACTCAAAAGATTCTGTTGTAGCATGTAAGGATGGAAGGATGCATATTACTTTGTACGGTTACCCAGATGTCCTCTACTACTGTATTATTTACAGTTGTAGAGGGGATCTCATTTGATTTAAGGGTATTTCTTACATATATGCAGGCTCCACCTCCGCGTCCTGCATCACATTTGTAAATATGAAAGTTTGGAATATTGATGAAACTGCTTGATATTTCTTGGTGAAGCCATGTTTCACTAATGCACAGGATATCGATATTTCTCTCCTTACTCATTAATTCAATTTCTTCAAAGTGTCCGAGGAGAGACTGTGCATTGATGTACTCAATTTTGAGTGCGCTTAGTGTTTTGACTGCCGGACTTGCAGCGTCAAACATCCTGCTCGCCTTGGTACTTGTTTCTATTTAGGAATACCTTTACATTATCAGGAAAGGAAAGACGTCGGACTCTAAGAAAAGATCTGGGTTAATATCCTTGCCTCTTA